TTTCCCTACTCACCCTTTATATCGTCTCTTCGAGGTTTCAACCCCATCCTCTTCTTCATCTTACTCTTCCTGGGTGGTTTTATCCAGGCCCCAGGATTTTAACTACTCCACCACCAGTGTTCCTCAACTTTGTTTCCTGCTTCCCCGTGGTTGACACACACAACACATGTATATCAATACAGTCTCTCGCTTCAATAACTCTTAAGCGGGGAAGGATGTCACCGAAATTGAGGGGGAAGCAAGAGCAGAATCTTGGGCATTGGAGGCGATGATGCGTTGAAAACCGACAGGATCCCGAAAGATTCTCATCTGCCCCCAGGTCTTTCCTGCCTGTGCACACTGAACTCCACCTCTCTCTCCTGAGTTCTAGACTTGTATTTTTAGCTTTCCTTTGAATATACCTATCTGGTACTACAACTGTTTAAAACTTATTCCTTTAAGTAGATGATTGTGCTGGAAATCTCTGATCTGGACAGGGGCGTACTGGGGCTGGTGGGGGGAGGGGGGGCAGGGAATGGTATCTCACTGTGACTTTCATTGTAATCTTTTCTTTAAGCCTAAATTGTCAGGTAGAGTCCATAGCTTTGTTCATTTCTCTGTTATGTACTTGATTATTTGTTTACAAATCACTCCTAAGCTACCAGAGCTTGAGTACCTTTGAATCCCCAGTCCCTGGCACAGTTTCTAGCTCAGAGTATATGCTTAATAAGGATTACTGAACGCAAGCAGGTAGTATTGTGTTTACCCCTCTGATACGGCAGCACAGACAAAGGAAAATTTAATTCTGCCTGAGATTAGATACAGCTTCCCCAAAGGAGGTTATGGTTAGACTTAAAAGATGAACAGAATTTCAGCAGATTCCACGCGAAGCCAACAGTTCACAGACAAAGGCAGGAAGACAGAAAGAGGCACAGGCACAAGATCATGAGATTTGGTGTGGCCAGAGTGGACCAGGTTTGGTGGGGATGGCACGAAACAAAGTGAGAAAGGTAGGTTTGGGCCAGGCTGCCTTGAAAGTAGGGTTACAGAGTTCTGACATAAAAATTAGTCAATATTAGCATGGCATTGAAGGTTTTAGGCAGGGAAATGATATAACCAATCTAATTTAACTTTCAGTATCACTACAAGTGGGCTGTCTTTACCTCTTATCTCTGAGACACTAATGTATTTATCCTCCCCCTCCCCATTAAAAAGAGGTGAGGGGCTTCCCTGGTGGCGCAGTGGTTGAGAGTCCGCCTGCCGATGCTGGGGACACGGGTTCACGCCCCGGTCCGGGAAGATCCCACATGCCGCGGAGCGGCTGAGCCCGTGAGCCATGGCCGCTGCGCCTGCGCGTCCGGAGCCTGTGCTCCGCAACGGGAGAGGTCACAACAGTGAGAGGCCCGCGTACCACAAAAAAAAAAAAAAAAAAAAAAAAGGTGAGGAAAACACCTGGCCTGGCTGGAGAGTTAGGGAGCTCTGAATGGCTAAATTTTGAAATTTGAGAAAGTCAAGCTATTTTTGATAAGATTTTCTGTTTGTCTCAAGTTCCTTCCTCCAACCTCTAAAAAAAAAAAAAAAATCAGAGCACAAGAAACAATCCTTCACCTGATTAAAAAAAAAAATTCTTAGAATGTTACACCTTCATTTCCTGTTTTCTACCTTCATTTTGGGGTAACTTCTTCGTTTGATATAATGTCAAACAGAAAAGTTTTAAGAATAGTACAAGGAATTCCTGTGTACCCTTTTACTGTATACAATTACTTACATTTTTGCCTATTTTAAAAATCATTCTCTCATTTTTATACATATACATTTTTCCCCAAACCGTTGAGACTAAGATAGGGTATGCCCCCTTTACTCCCAAATACTTCAGTGTATAAGAACAAGATCATTTTCTTACACAACCTACAGTTCAATTATCAAAACCAAGTACTTTAACATTGATATAATACTTTTATCTAAATCACAGTCGATTTTCACATTTTGTCAGTTATCCCCTATAATATCTTTATAGGTATTTTCCCTTCAATATTTTTACATTATTGTTAAATTATTTGCCTTTTCTCCAAGATATTTCAATAATCTTTATAGTACTGCTATATTTTCTTCACTTATACAGTAGTGTATATTTGATACAGCTTAAAAGGATGGATTAATGAAATACCATAGTAACTTCAAACAAGTTTGAACAATATTTAAATATATCTCAGAAAGATTCAGGCTCCACAATCAGACTCCTCTAGATTTAAACTCTGTCCCCTGTATTCTATGTTAGGTAAATTACTTTGCCTCCCTTTCTATTTCCTCAACTATAAAATGGGGGTGATAATAATAATTCTTATCCAATAACGATGTTAGAAGTATTAACTGAGAGAATACATGCTGGGTGCTCAGAATAATGCTTTGCATATAGTTGGTGGTCAATAACTAATTATTTTTACATAGGCACAATCTATGTCAATGTATTGTTGGGTCAAAGGGATCCCAATAATATCAGAACCTTTGGTGGAACTTACATTAAAATAACAAAATGAGAAAAATGCACACCCAAATGATCTAATTCCAAGCAACAAAAAGGATACAAAAATAAAACTAAAAAAATAAAACTAACACTTTGTATCATTTCAAGAAAACTGTTCAGTCGCAGATCTATCAATAAAATCAGCTCCAGAGCAACCACTGGTAGTAGTAATATAGCTCCAGTATGAAATCATTTAAAGATTTAAAAACAGAGAGCTGGGCTTCCCTGGTGGCGCAGTGGTTGAGAGTCTGCCTGCCGATGCAGGAGATGTGGGTTCGTGCCCCAGTCCGGGAGGATCCCACATGCCGCGGAGCGGCTGGGCCCGTGAGCCATGGCCGCTGAGCCTGTGCGTCCAGAGCCTGTGCTCCGCAATAGGAGAGGCCACAACAGTGAGAGGCCCGCGTACCGCAAAAAAAAACCCCAAAAAACCCCAGAGAGCTAACTGAGAAAAGGCCATGGTGCACTTTTTAAGGGCCTCAAAGAATTTTATGTTGTAATTCAGTGCACAGTATTAGAGATGTTGTCTTTCATATGACGGTTCTCTTGCTAAAGGCCTGCCATGAGATTGTTTTGGACATAGCTTAAGTCAACATCATCAACCATTTCACAATTTTCTGACATCCTAAATGCAGCCAGATTTGAACAGAGAGATATGATCAGAGTCTACCAGTGGAAAAGACAATCCTAGCACATCTGTAAAGAAATCATCTTATAAGGTAACTCAGCTGGTACTTAAGAAGTTGTTTGGTTTTATTAAGGAAAAGAAAAAAA